ATGTCACATAGGGCTCGCTGTCTATTTCTCCACCACGTGCACTCAGTACACTGTCATGGATGATCACGTGCACTCAGTTCACTGTCATGGATAATCGTGTGCACTCAATTCACTGTCATGGATGATCATGTGCACTCAGTTCACTGTCATGGATGATCGTGTGCACTCAGTACACTGTCATGGATGATCACGTGCACTCAGTTCACTGTCATGGATGATCGTGTGCACTCAATTCACTGTCATGGATGACCATGTGCACTCAGTTCACTGTCATGGATGATCAAGTGCACTCAGTTCACTGTCATGGATGATCACGTGCACTCAGTTCACTGTCATGGATGATCATGTGCACTCAGTTCACTGTCATGGATGATCGTGTGCACTCAGTTCACTGTCATGATGATCACGTGCACTCAGTTCACTGTCATGGATGATCATGTGCCTCAGTACACTGTCATGGATGATCATGTGCCTCAGTTCACTGTCATGGATGATCACGTGCACTCAGTTCACTGTCATGGATGATCGTGTGCACTCAGTTCACTGTCATGGATGATCACGTGCACTCAGTTCACTGTCATGGATGATCATGTGCACTCAGTTCACTGTCATGGATGATCGTGTGCACTCAGTTCACTGTCATGGATGATCACGTGCACTCAGTTCACTGTCATGGATGATCATGTGCACTCAGTTCACTGTCATGGATGATCATGTGCACTCAGTTCACTGTCATGGATGATCAGTTCACTGTCATGGATGATCATGTGCACTCAGTTCACTGTCATGGATGATCATGTGCACTCAGTTCACTGTCATGGATGATCATGTGCACTCAGTTCACTGTCATGGATGATCACGTGCACTCAGTTCACTGTCATGGATGATCACGTGCACTCAGTTCACTGTCATGGATGATCATGTGCACTCAGTTCACTGTCATGGATGATCACGTGCACTCAGTTCACTGTCATGGATGATCACGTGCACTCAGTTCACTGTCATGGATGATCATGTGCACTCAGTTCACTGTCATGGATGATCACGTGCACTCAGTTCACTGTCATGGATGATCATGTGCACTCAGTTCACTGTCATGGATTAATACAGTAATAGAATATGTATTGATCGACGCTCATATAAAGAAGTAGACAGATAGAAGAACACACTAGACAACATAGAAATCCAAAGCTTTAGTTACAGTGCCGGGAATCGAACCTGTCACCTACAGATGGCATGTGTCCTCGCTATGGAAACAAGTGCACTAAGAACATGGTCAACCAAGCAACCCCAGAAAAAAGTGTCTTATTGGCCATGTCTATCGTACAGCTTGAAATCCATAACTTTAGAATATGGACAGTTTTCATTTCAAACCTTTGAAATGGCACCATCGGTTACACAAATTTAGATTCACTTTCATGGATGAAATTCAGTGCAGTAATCCTGGCCTCTCTCATCAACGTTCTTTTTAGAGTTTTTTTTTGGCGTCCTCGCCTTCTCAATGGCTTTATTGTCTATTTCAGTTCAAGTTTGGCGCTTTTTTGCTGGTTTCTTCTCAGGATGTTTTCAATCAATAAATCAGGTGCCGTCTCCACAATGAAGGTTGGCTGCAATGGATCTCCAACAAGCCGTGTCTCTTGCCCTTGACGTACACTCACTCATACTGCTGTTCGTCCATCTCTTGATGTCATCCTCCCACTTGTAACGCTGTCTGCCTTTTGCTCGCCTACCTTGAACCTTTCCCTCTAGGATGATCTTTACAATACAGTTATGTCCTTTAATGTGGCCAAAATATTTCACTTGTCTCTTTTTTATTTCACCTAGCAACTCTCTTTTCATTCCCAATTTCCTCAGTACCTCTGTATTTGATAGCTTTTGTTTCCATGAAATACGACCTAATCTTCTGTATATCCACATCTCCAAAGAATTGATACGATTTTCCAGTTGTTTGTTCATTGTCCATGTCTCTGTGCCATGTCATTGTCAATGTCTCTGTGCCATACAGTAAGGTTGAGAATGCATAACATTTGACAATTCTAATTTTTAATGTATTGCTTATTTCTCTTGATGTCAGTAACTTTTGCACGTTGTTGAAAATGTTTTTGGCCATTCCTATTCTTTTCTTGACTTCTGTTTCACTTCTGCCGTCACATGTTATTACTTGTCCAAGATATAAGAAATTTTTTAACTCGTTCCAATTTCACAACGTTCACTGTGATATTCTTTGTTAGCTGATTATTTTCTTTGCTAAATATCATGGTTTTTGTCTTTTTCAAATTTATATCTAATCAAAATTCTGCACTCCTTCTGTTTACTTGCTCCACTAGGTCTTGCAACTCATGCTCACTCTCTGCTAGCAACACTGTGTCGTCAGCATATCTCAGATTGTTTATTATTCTACAATTGATGTGCAGTCCTGGTAATTCTACAATTTCTTTAAAAATGGTTTCTGTACATAAGTTGAAAAGGCTAGGCGAGAGCACACATCCTTGTCTTACTCCTCTCTTGATCTCTATCTAGGGTGAGCAAATGTTGTCATATCTTACTGTTGCTTCTTGCTCCCAGTATAAGTTTCTAATAAGTCTGATATCCTTTCCATCTAGTCCTATGTTTTGAAGACCTGCAATTAGTTGTTCATGTTGCACTCTGTCGAAAGCTTTTTTGTAATCTATAAAACATGCATAAATATTTTTCTGAACTTCTATATATTTTTCAGTCAGCATCTTTAGACAGATTATGGCCTCTCGAGTACCACTGTTTTTACGGAATCCAAATTGCTCTTCAGAAACTTCTTTCTCTATTTTATCTTGAATTCTAGCTTGTATTATCTTCAAGAGTAACTTAGTTACGTGACTCATTAGGCTAATAGTTCTGTAATCTTCACAATCAACAGCCTTTGATTTCTTGGGTAGTGTGATAAAAACAGATGTTTTCATATCCCTGGGAATGTACCCATAGTTATAAATGTCATTGCATATTTTTGTGATAGTATCAATTCCAAAAGTAGATAATGATTTTAACATTTCTGCAGTTATGTTGTCTGGACCTGCAGCTTTTTCCTGCTTCACCTGTTTAATGGCTTTCTTTACTTCAGACTTTAATATGTTTGGTCCCTCTTGAATATTATGGATTGGCGGTTTGTCACCTTTGTTGTCCCAAAACAGGTCTTCTGTGTATTCAGTCCATCTTTTTATTATATCTTTCTTATCAACAATAATTTTTCCATTCTTCCCCCTAATACAACCATTTCCTGTTAAATGTTTTTCCTTGTTTGTACGTTTTCTTATATTTGCATGTATTTCCTTGGTTCTGTGTTTTATTTCAAGATCCTCTATTTCTTTGCATTTTAACTGAATCCATGTTTCCTTAGCAGTTCTACACATATTTCGTATTTCTCTGTCTAATAATGAATATTCTGGAGTGTTTTTTTGCTTTCTTCCTTTGTGTTATTTTGTTAATAATTTCCTCAGTCATCCATACTTGATTTTTCTTGTTTTCTTTCACTGGTAAGATGGCATTAGTTGTTTCTATACTTGTTTTGAAACATTCCCATTTTGTATTAATTTTGTCCTCTGGATTCTCCCGTCGATATTGTTCCATGCTTTCAACTTTTAATCTGTCATATTTATTTTTAACCTCCACTAGGTACTGCTGGCTTATTTCTGGCTGTTTCAAAGCTGGTATGTCTATGTGGGGTGACCTTTGCGTTTTTATTCCTGCGTTTTTAAGTTTAATTTGTATTTTTATTACCACAGGGTTGTGATCTGAATTTTTATCCGCACGTGGGTATGTTTTGGCCTTCTTTATGTTGTTTTTGAATCTGTCTCTAATCATTACATAGTCAATTTGGTTTCTATTTATATCTCCTGGACTCCTCCACGTAAATAGTTTTCTAGGTGGATGTTGAAAAAATGTATTACAGATAATGAGTTGGTTCTCTTTGCAAAACTGTATCAATCTGTCTCCTCTGTCATTCCTTGATCCCATGCCAAATTGCCCTACAATATGTTTGTGCTTCTTTTTCCCCACTTTTGCATTCAGGCCTCCCATAACTATTAAGACCTCTGATGATTTTACAACTTTCAGTGTTTGTTGTAGTTCTTCATAATATTCTTCAAGCTGTTCATCACTGTATGTTTCCAATACAGCGCCATATTCTCTGTCTTATAACTGAGGATACTAGTGGTTACTTAGACGTTTCTCTTTTGTTCTTCACCCTTTTTTTTTTAATTCATCCAGTTTTTTGTCATCATTTGTTTTCTAAAGCATTTAACTTTCGTTCCATGTCTTTGGTAGTCGACAAGTTTCACTTGCATAAGTTACAAGTGAATGTTAGAATGTAAGTTAATGTTAGAATTGAAAATACGTAAACTGATTTTAAAACTATACAATTTAGAGTTGTGACTGACTGACTTTCTACCCCACCAGGACATCACACAAGCGATAAACACCCGATGACACAAAGTGCAACCATGCGGATGAGGATCGCCGTGGAGAGGTCCCAGAAACAGCGTTTAGACATTTGGCCATATGTATGGCCTGCCTATATTGCGGCCCCTGGCAAAAGCCAGAGTAGGGCTTTGAATGACAAAAAAATGTTTTCCTAAAAATGACGAAATTGGATAATGAGTATAGAGTACTATATTTTCGTCAGGCTATTAAAAGCGACTCATACCATGCAAATACGTGTCACAATTTCTTTCTATGTATTTCCTTACTTATCAAAATTACTACTATATAGGTAAATTCATCTGTTAACTTTAATTACTTCTATCTCTAGTCTAACATCTGCTTGATCTGATGCTGGCTTTTCTTTCTTTTTTTAAATATTTGTCTTCAAAAATTTATTTGTAGTCCAACCCTTGATGCTATATTTGCTAACTCATCTGTTTTTCTTTGCATGTCATTGTTATTCTTACTTAGCAAAACAATATCATCAGCAAACTAGAGATCTTCCAACTCTATGTTCTCCACCCAGTCAATGTGGGTGTTTCCAACACAATATTTGTTTCACCACCCAGTCAATGGGGGAGAGGAAAGGGGGGGAGGGGGGGGGGGGAGAGGGGGAGAGGAAAGGGGGAGGGGGGAGAGGGGGAGAGGAAAGGGGGAGGGGGAGAGGGGGAGAGGAAAGGGGGGAGGGGGGAGAGGGGGAGAGGAAAGGGGGGAGGGGGGGAGAGGAAAGGGGGGAGGGGGGGGGGCTTTTCTGTTTCATTTTAGTTTCAACTTCAAACTAATCACTTCAAACCAACGGCTGAAAACGAACTACAAATGGGAGTGAATAGTTTAAATGAAACAATAAAACGAAACAATGGTTGAACAGAAACAATAAAGCGAAACAATGGTTGAACAGAAACAATAAAGCGAAACAATGGTTGAACAGAAACAATAAAGCGAAACAATGGTTGAACAGAAACAATAAAGCGAAACAATGGTTGAACAGAAACAAAAAAGCGAAGCAATGGTTAAACGAGAACAACAAATTGGAGACAGAGCCTGAGCGATCATTCAGACCAGAATTCGAGGCTGAGGACAACGACTGAACGCAAACCAGAAATGCGAGACGATGATTGAAAAGGAAAAGCAAAAGGGAGTTTATTGGTTTGAACAACAGATCAATATCATGGCACCCAGGTAGTAACCCATAAGTGCTTCATTCTTTTTCTAACTCAAGTCTGAATCTTAAGACGTTCAGCACTGTGCACAGGCTCTGTAGCATCGGCGAGGATCCTGAAATACTTTGGGTAGATTTTCAACTCTAAATTTTGCCAAGGCAGCGCTGTTAGGCTACTCTTTTCGATTTCCAGCTACCAAGGGATTTTTTTTTACGTTCGCAACAATGCACATAGACGTCCGATCTCACCACCCACAGTCTGGGGAATTACTAGAAGTCCAAGTCCACGTGAAAAAATCCCAGCCCTTACCGAGGATTGAACCCGGAACCTCTAGCACTCTAGGCGGACACCATGCGTCGAGACCACGCACCCCCACCTCTCTTTACGCAGAAGGGGAAAACAATTAAAACAAGAACTAGAAATGGAAGACAATGACTAAAACAAGACCTTGAAGTGGGCGTGAGAGTATAACAAGAACTAAAGCAGAAAACAGCAACTTACATTAGAAGAAGAAAAAAAGGCTTCCAAGAACTAGCGGACTGATGACTCTAACACAACAGTGCACACTGTTTTTCCGTGTCCCAACTGTCATGCCTCTGTATGTTCTTGCACTGGCTGTTTATTGTAGTCCTCTAGAGATCTGACGCGTGCGATCAGATGTTGTCTGTATCTCACTTAGAACATCACAGCACCACATTTGCTATGTAAACAGATCCGACACAAGTGGAAGCACTAAGTCAATAATTGCACTAATTTGCGGTGTATCTGCTGGGGGGGGGGGGGGGGGGGGGGGGGGGGGGGGGGGGGGGGTGAGAAGAGAAAGGCTGGGGCGCAGTGCCGTACTGGTTAAACGAAAGCTGTCGGCCCCAACTTTCTGGGTTTGAATCCGCATTCACCGACTGTAAACTTCAGCGGAAAGTTCTGGACTTTGGTCTTGTTCTAGAACCTGGGTGTTGCATGCACATCAGTTTCACAGATCTGGCTTATTTGTATGCAGACTGTTGGTTCCTTGCCTCTAAGTCAGATGCACTCTAATTAGGAAAGTAGCTCTCATTTAGGCGACTCTTATGACATGCTTGTTGGACAGTGGGTCTTTTCTTGTTTTCCCACAACGGGGCCTCGAAACCCATGAAGGGAGACTACGGTGTGGTGTGGGTGCAGCGGGTTGTGTGGGGCCGCAGCGAGGTGTGGGCGCTGCGGCGAGGTGTGGGTGCCGCGGCGAGGTGTGGGCGCCGCAGCGAGGTGTGAGCGCCGCAGCGAGGTGTGGGCGCCGCGGCGAGGTGTGGGTGCCGCGGTGCCGCGGGTGGCGCTGGTGTCGCGGGTTGTACTGGTAGTGTGGGTATCACGGGGTGGTGTGGATGCAACACGCGGTTTGAGTGCCGCGGGGTGGTGTGGGTGCCGCTGTTGTGCGGTCTAGTGCTATGACTTTTTATATGAAAAAACAGAACAATCATGAAAAAGGAGACGGATGTCGTGATAGATGTTGGTGGATCAGTGAGGGGTCAAGTTGCCGCATTGGCTAGGTACATGAGGTATTTTATGAATCATTGAGGGAACCAAATTAGGCAAAGAGCACAAGTGGCGTGTCTGACTACGGCTTTCAGAGGCAACTTTCTATTGTAGTGTAACCCACCATACACAAACCCGGTGTCCTGACTAATTTTATCCCCTGGAATATTTAACCACGTCACTAATCTCTACCCTAGTGAAGAAACATTCAATTCCAAAATTGGCTTAAGACGTTGCTTCTTTCGTCCCACCATTTCCTTTTGTAAGTTGCTTGTCCTGGAAGTACACGACCACCCATTAGGGGCCACAGACCACTCACCCGTTACGGGTCACAGACCACCCACCCGTTACGGGTCAAAGACAATCCACCCGTTACGGGTAACAGACCACCCACCCGTCACTGGTCACAGACCACCCACCCGTTAGGGTAACAGACCACCCACCCGTTAGGTGTCACAGACCACCCACCTGTTACGGGTCAGAGACCACCCACCCGTTACGGCTCAGAGACCACAGAAAGATAGACAATGTCCGGAATACTTTTATCCCTAGATGCCCACTAATCATTAAACCGGTGACCGAGATTCTCCACTGTTGTACTGTCCGGTTTTAAAGCTGACTTTACAATGACCACTACTTCCTCAACCACTGTTTTCGGTCACTATTTCCTATTATCATGCAGCATTTGTTTTTATATTTCTAGTTCAAAACCCCCATCTTGATAACTTGCAGGTGTTAAGTCGTGCACTATAGCTAGCGCATCTTTCAAAGACTAGAGGTCATCTTGAAAACGTTATGTTTTACTATAAGTCACTAATAAGCGGGAATTTTACTAGCTGTTTGTTTTTCATGTCCAGGGAAATTTTTTTTCATAGCAGGCATCTCGAAGACTTTTCAGGGCAGCTACTTTTACTGTTCTTCTCAACTCACTAACAACACAGCTCCCAACTTACCAACTATTTCTCACAAAAGTGACAATTTTGTCTTATTTAAAATCAACATACTGATAACTCTACAAGCAAGACATTCCTCGCTGTATGATAAGGAACTTCACGATATATCACAAACTAAAAGGGTCGATTTCAAAACTGTTAACAAATCGTTAAACAAGGACAGGCATGCAGAAAAAGGTGGGAGAAAGAGAAATATTAACTGCCAGTCAACTCCTAATCCTTACGCTGAGCATGGAGACACTGAGGCTGCTAGTGTTTGCTACTTAGGAGTACAGAATACGACTTGGTTGGACGGATATGCTAGAATATCGATACGGAAAACAAGTAACAAGTAAACACATTAACGTAATGTTATACACACTGGGAAACTGACGCCGAAACACACCGGTTGACTCAATTACCAGCTGTCCACATCACAACTGTCGTGGATTACCTGCAATGCCATCCTCGTACTTAAGGTAGTGCTGAGTTGATCTGAGTTAAGAAAAGACACATCATCACTAGGAACATTCACACAAGGGCTCCGTGCCCATCTTCAGCAGCGAGTGAAGATTTCTAATACCAAAGGTGTGAATAGCAGTTAGATTATACAGTATGCGCCTACTGCCTTTCCTCTGAGAGCTGAATGTCAATCAGATGCCTCTTACAACACCAATGTCTTCAGACCGTTTATGAGTCTGCTTAACAGTCTTTCCAAATGTCTGCCCGTCAATCTGTCTGTTTGTTGGTCCAAGCTTTTGTCTATCCGTCTGTGGAATTTAAAATGGAGAAGAGCAAAGTTCTGGAAAGTAACGATGGCCTCCACGATGTGCACAATATGTCCCAGAATGTAGGAACGGGATTTTAATTTTCACCATAAAACCAAATAACAGACACCAAAGATATCTCTCACAAGAACCCTTAATATCTGTCGCTAACATTTCTGTAAAGTGATCAACAAACTCTGTGAGCTTCTCATTAAAATATGTCAAGCCATCTTTTTTTTTTTTTTTTGCATTCGCAGCAGACATCAAGAAAGCATCTTTAAAAAGTCACGATATTTGAATATGAATGCCTTGAAAAGGGGAAAATTGTAGTCTTCCATCTCTTCCAGCTTACAATATAGAAATCGGTCACTGAAGTTTTGTAAAGTACAAACTGCCAATTAATTCTTATGTTTAGAGTTTTCATCTAGAAGATGGGGTAGGATTTTGAAGAAGAAAAGAATTCTTAACCTAATTCCCATTCAGTTATGACGTGTACTTGATTTTACAAAGACACAATATTCCAAGGATATGCTGTAATTCTTTCAGTACAAGGCAACTTATCATATTTTTATTGATTACATTATACATCGAAAACTTTGGCAAATTTACTCTTTTCCATTTTTCTGTTATGTTCAGCCTACCTATCGCAGTACTACTTCACCTCATCCTGTCCTATATATTTAAAAACAAAAACAAATTTAGCTCACAGAGTCTAACGTTTAGACCTTTATACAAAACTTGCCTAGCATTCCAAAATGCCATCTTCCATATACGTATTGCATTTTATGCTTTTCATGCCATCCTTTGCTACAAAAGTGAAATTAGGCTACGAACAGCTGACTTGTCCAGGCAACGATTTGTATCAACGGTGATCAGTTGGTTTGGTAATTTCTTTAGAATGTAGCCACAGCGATGACTAACACATGAGCTGCGAATCATAAGATCTGACTGAAAACAAGATGGTGCAAGCTAAGATGGATTGATGACATTAAGTAACTTCTATATGTTGTATGCGAATGTTAATTTAACCAGTCCATGGTGCACACTGGCATTCCCGTTGAGTTGACAGCTTGTGAATGTAAATATCTGGGGCCACTGAAAGAGGGTGGAGCGTGAGCCACGGAGTTGGTGAAACATTTGCTGTTTGAAGTTCATGACTAGCTTGTGTTGTGGACATGTTACCATATTGTGAAATCCGTGTGGGCCAACAGCATATGGAATTATCACGAGGTAGAGGGAGTCAGTCGTTTTCAGTCAGTCTAAGTATTTGGACGTGTACGAGAATTGTTAAAGTCCCAGTGACGCATGGACTTTTTGGGTGACATTTGTAACAATATGTTTTTTTTTTTTTTTTCTGCTAAAGCTCGTGAACTGCCCGGCTGAATGTGATGGATCATAAGCTG